GGGTCAGAACATGCAAGAAATGGATAGCTGATGGAAAACCGCTGAAACCCAGTCCACATATAGGGCCAAACAAGGGAAGTAAAAACAGTGTTGCTGCAAATATGACACTTCTAGCTGTAGATGATACAATATTTTCTGCAGAAACGAATTGATGATTCTGATGATTGGTTTATTGATAATGGGGCCTCGAAGCATGTCGTCAATAACAGGCACTACTTTATAGACTTCAAAAGATTTAAGCTTCCTCATAGCATCACTGTGGCAAATGGAAAGTCATTACCAGCAAATAGGCAAATTTGGCACCATCAAGATAATGACCATTGTAAATGGGATGAATCAAATAAAAAATCTTGAAAATGTCTGGTATGTTCCAGAAATAAGTAAAAATCCTATTTTTTTCTGTGTTAGCAAGCATCTCAAGATAGAAATCAAAACAGTGTGTTTGAATCAACATTTAAGGACTGCTATTTAAAAATAGATGGTGAAATAGTTTCTGCATGGAACAAGAAATGCTGGTGGGGGGTCTCTTCAAAGCCGTGATGAAGACCTTAGTTCCTGAAACTCACATTGACATCAACATGTGTGACTGAGAATAATGAATCAACTCTCCAGCTTTATCATGAATGAGGGGTCACCAAGATAAAAGCATGTAAAGGCCATTGTGGAGAAAGAGTTGAATATTAAGTCTGATATGAAATTATGTGAAGCTTGTGTATACGGAAAATCCCACCGTTTAAAGTTTGGAACCAGGAAAGCGGTTACAAAAGCTGGAGAATTGTTCTCGACAGATATTTGTGGGCCATTTTATCAGTCATTTAGGAAATACCGTTACTTTGCAATCTTCAAAGATACCTACACCAAATTTCGATACTGTTTTTTCTTAAAGCACAAATCAGAAGTAAAAGATGTACTTGAAAATTTTATAGCTCACGCTAAGAACTTAGGGCATACGGTTAAAGAAATGCTCAGTAACAATGGTGGAGAATTTGACAACCAATCCGTTTGCAAGATCTTGAACAAGCATGGAATTTCCCTGAGGCTCACAGCTCCATATACACCAGAACAAAATGGCAGTGCTGAACGAGAGAACAGAACAGTCCTAGAAATGGCCAGAACTCTCAAATACTCGAATGAGGAAGTGGACTTTCCAGCTTTCCTATGGGCAGAGTTCGTCAGTACTTAAATTTATATATTGAATAGGACAGGCAAGTCTTCAGTTCCTAATTCAAGCCCTTATGAATTATGGATGGGAAAGAAACCCAGAATAAAACACATGCGCATCATTGGATCGACTTGCTATACTCATATCCCAGTTCAGAAGTGGAGAAAGATGGACAAAAGGGCAACTAAAGGCTATCTCCTTGTGTATGATGGAGATGAAAGGTACCGCATTTACATCAAAGAAACCAGTACAGTAATCTGTTCCCGAGATGTCACATTTGAAGAGAAACCTTCCATAACTGGAAACATTATAACATTGCACCCACAAGTTTCTGGAAGAAATTCATCTCAAGATGATGAAGTTGAAAATAAAGTAATAGACAAAGGCCCACAACAGGAAAAGAAGGAGGTGGAGGATATACCAGAAAAGGAGACTCGACCCAGAAGACAAATTTCAGCGCCTAAGTAGACAAAGGATTATATCATGGAAAATTCAGAAATAATGGAATTACAAGTGGAATGCAGCTGACAATCCGAGAAACAGAAATATGAAGGCTCAACACTCAAGAAAGCTTTCCAAAATGATCCTGAAACTTTAGAAGAGGCATTAACTAGTCCAGATGCAGAAAAATGGAAGTTAGCCATGGAAGAGTTGGAAAATTTAAAACGAAATGAAACTTGGGACATAGTGCCTAGGCCAGAGGGAAGGAAAGTTGTGAAATGTAAGTGGGTCTTCAAAAGAAAACTTAACAAAGATGGACAAGTGGAAAGATATAAAGCTTGTTTAGTTGTTCGTGGCTACACCCAAGTCGAAGGAATTGACTACAAAGACACGTTTTCTCCTGTAACAAAAACAAAATCAATTAGAACTTTATTAGCATTCTCAGTTGAGCAAGACTGGCAGGTTCATCAACTTGATATTACTGCAGCCTATTTAAATGGAAGACTGAGTGAGACAATTTTCATGGAACAGCCACCTGTGAGTCTGCATGAGAAAACACACAGCGAAGTTTGCTTGGTAAAGAGAAGCCTTTATGGACTTCATCAGTCTGGGAGAGAATGGAATATGTGCCTTGATAAATTTCTGAAATCAACGAGCCTAACAAAATCCAGAGCAGATCCTTGTGTTTACTTCAATAAAGAAAAGAAGTTAATTGTAGGTGTGTATGTGGATGATCTTGTAATGTTCAGCAAAGAATTCATCATTCAGGAATTTAAGGATAATATTGCAGCTACATTTAAAATCAAGGACTTGGGAGAAATACATCACCTTCTTTCAATTAGGATAAACAGAAGGGAAGATAGCTGTGTGACTCTTGACCAAAGTGTCTATGCTAGTGAACTTTTGGAAACAACCAATATGCAAGATGCTAAAGGAGCATCAACACCATTAGATCCAGGTATGAAATATACAGCAGCCACTAAGGATAACATGTTGAATGCTGAAGGAGCATTAAAATATAGGCAGGCTGTTGGAGGGCTCTTGTACCTAGCAGGAGGAACAAGGCCAGATTTAGCTTTTGCTACTACTTACATGAGCCAATTCAATAATTGCCTAAGCAAGGAACATTGGGCTGGTGTACAACATATCCTTCGTTACCTAAAACAGACCAAGGAATTAAAGCTGACTTTCCAAAAGACAGGAAAAATTTGGAAGTGTTTTGTGATTCTGATTGGGCTGGTGATAAGATTGACAGACGATTATTTAGTGGCTATGTTGTGCTACTAGCAGGTGGAGCTGTCTCATGGAGCAGTAAGAAACAACAGACGACTGCATTGTCAACAGTTGAAGCTGAGTACCTCTCAATGTGCCATGCAGCCAAGGAAGTACTGTGGTTTCTAAAATTTTTTTAAAGAAATTGTGGGAGAACATTTTTTAAACTTTCCCACAAAGCACTTATTTGTTGATAATCAGGGTGCCATTTCTTTAAGCTAAAAACCATGTCACTTCAGAGCGTAACAAACATATTGAACTCAGGCATTTTTTCTTGAGAGAAAGGTTGAAGAGAAGTTGTTAAACTTTACCGTATGTGCCTTCCAGTTCAAATGCAGCAGACATGTTCACAAAGAGTGTGCAAAAGAAAGCCTTGTTCAATCAAAGGTTCTGTGTAGGACTGAGGGAAATTTAATCAAGGGGGAGTGTTGCAAATAACTTTTATTTGTGATTATATTTCCCATTTGTATTTTACAACATGTGTGGCAACACACATTTTATATTTTTCTCTTGGCAACGTTTTTTTAGTTGTTGTCACTGTTTTACTTTACCATGTAGAATTTACTGTACTTGTGCCATTTTGTGTTTCAATATATGTTAATTTAGATGAATCTCTGCTTATTTATTTGTCTCCATTCCTAACGCTAGACTTCATCAAAAAGTCGTTAATCTGGACTCGTCGGGACTTTGGCGATTCCGGATTATCGATTTTTCTGGATTATAGATCATCAGTTTAAATCTGGTAAGATGGCATGCAGAAATTATAAAATTAAGAATATGAAATTGTAGTTTATGAAATAAAGAACAATTATGATCTAAAGTTTATCAAAATTTATAAAAAAAAAAGCTTAATATTTATTTGTTTACTTTATTAAACATTTCTTTCAACAGACATAATTTCTTGTTCAGTTACAAAGTTCTGCTGTTCAAGTCCTATAATTGCTATGTCAAGAATACCGACTAATTTGTCAATAGAAATTTTTTGGTTTTCAATAACCTCTGTGTCATTTTCTTCACTATCGGAAGCGAATTATAATTACGAGGAATTTGATTTAAATCATATCAAAGACGGAGTACATCGAGATGAAATACTACATTTAGTAAGGAATTATAAATCAAATAAAATAAAAACATCTGCCCTGAAGATAAGTTTAGTGCTGACAGATCAACTTCCAATTCATTGTGCGCCGCGGCGTCCCCCCCCCCCCATATAGAAACACAGTTTCGTTTTGTAGATCCTTTGGGAGCTCCAGCATCGGAAATTCTATTTGACATAATCGAAAGTTCAAGCTTACTTTTATAAAATTGCTCTAACAGTTTGCAAAAAATAATAAGCCGGATCCAATTCAAAGATTAAGGAACAACGCAATCTGCAACATTAACCTTACATTTTCCCTTGTCAACAAACTCAACATTTTGAAGCAGAGTTAGCTAAAGTCTATAGAATCACCAAGTGTGAAGTTAACATAAAAAGCTGTCATTCTCTTTGATATTCAATTACTAATATTTAAAAAAAAATCATTCAGACAGCTGTATGTCATTTCTCAAGCTGCCATCAGTTGATAGTTAATTGATTATAAAAAGCAATAAATAGTTCACCTGTTGGTTTCAGTTTGAGATAAAAGCCAAGCAAAAATGCAGCTAAGCTACGAAGCCGAGCTATTGATCATACAGATTTAAGCTAATAAATGATCATTTTTTCAATATGGAGTTATTTTATTCAGTGCTAAAGTGAAATTAAAAATCGGTGTTGTGTACACATTTTATTATGAAAAATATCAAATGAGCAAGCATAAAGCATGGGAAAAAAAAATTTTTTTTAAATAACTGATAGTGACTCTGAGGTCCAGATTTCAAACTTTGTACTGCAAATGAATTTAATAACTGCATAATATGAAAATTGGTGTATGTCTAAAAAAATTCAGTTCACCTTTTGAAAATAGCTTCTTCCCACATTTTTGAGATTTTTATCTTTCATATGCAGCCAGGCCACACAACTTTCACTTTCTAATATGATTTTGTCATAGGTTTTCGTCAATGATTAAGATCCCTTTCGTTATTGAACAAAGAGAAAATGCTTCAGAGAAAAAGAAATCACTTAAGAAAAAAGAAATATAATTCTTACCCCAAACTATTTGATCGGCAGCATGAACTGGTTGGTACTTATCAGTATACCTCTCAATGTCCTTTTTGACTGTTACAGGTGGAATGGAGTAACCTGACTCTTTAAATGAGGTTCTGATCTCTTGTTTTAATGTCAGTGTATATAATATTTTTTTACCAGTAACTAGTGGAAGAGGTTTAAATTGCAGAGGCTGAAAAGAAATTTATCATAATTTAATATATTTCAAAAATAATAATAATTTATGACCAAGACCATATTTATGCAATACATCAAATATTAACAAAATTTTCAGTAAAATTTGAAAAATGGAATGTGGTCATTTACATATTACCTGCCATCTTTCATTTCCATCCATGTATTGGCGATAACATGCCAGTAAATATCGGGTTTTTAACGGAAGTTTCTTGCTACCACAAATATTGTCTGGGCAAACAGATCATGTTAGTGTGTTTAATCATATTTTGTCAAACAATTTTTGCCATTTGAAAGACAGAAACTTACTTTAGAACATTGTGTTGTGAAATTTGTAAAAAAATATCGTTATAATTAAGTACAAGGTGTCTGAAATGGAACTATCACACTCCCAGATTAGAACCATAATTTATTTCCAGTTCTGTTGCAAAATGTCATCTAAAGATGTCACCAAAACATGCACACAGCTTTAGGTACTAATGTTGTATGATATGACACTGTGAAGGTTTGGTACCGAAAGGCCAAAAACAAGGACATTCAAGGAGCAGAGTGCTCTAGCAGCCTACTAATGTTAATGAGGCTCACCTGTGGGAAACTGTGGAAGAAGATCAGTATGCAACCACTCGAGATCTTGCTAATGAGTTAGACGTTAGAAGCATATATATTAGTCACACTTTCATAAAATAAACTTGACGTACAGGTCCAATCGCTGGGTGCCACATGAGATGATTCAAGCATATAAGGACAGACATGTTCGGGCCTGTATTAATCTGCTCGAATATCAATGTAAGAACAAAATCTGGACCAGATCGTCACTTGTAATGAAAAATGGATTTATTTCAACAACACAGGACGAGAGGTGCTTGGTCTACCTCCAGTATGCCTGTTGGCAGCGTCACAAAATGCAATTTCACTAAAATAAAAGATCATGCTTTATATCTGTTTGGATTGCTGTGGTATTATCCACAAAGAGTGTCTGGAAAAAGGTAAAAACCCTCAATATAAAGTGTACAGCAAGATGCTAGTCTGTGTTGACTTTGCTATCAAGGAAACACATCGAACTGAGTTCCGGCACAAAAAGGTAATGTTCCATCAAGATAATGCAAGACCATGTGTCTGCATTCATTGGCTGGACTCTGTACGGGCTCGAATAGGCTCTTTTGCCACATCCACACAACCCCGACATCGCTTCTTCAGGTTTCTACCTTTTTTCACACCTGCAGCTATAGCTTGCTGGTGAATTACAGTTGTGACGAGTCTTCGGCCCTAAGGCCTTTACTCCACAAGTATTTCTCCTACTGGAACAGTCTTAGTGAAAATAAGAATTCACTTAAAATAAAGTGGAAAATTTCTTGAGTTCTAGTTTATTACGAACTTCCATAGTGAAGATGTGGCGCCATCCATTGAAGATGACTACAAGTAGAGGCAAGAGGGTTGCAGCAGATGTGATGCCATCTATTGTAGGGAAAGGGAAATTAATCTGTTGAGGCAACTGTAAATCTTTCAAAAATCAGAAGATAGTAGGAATGCCAGAGATTATAAATTTTAGTGAAGAATACGTCTAGGTGAAAAGTACTGAGGCATAGAAATCCAAAAGTAGTTTAGATGAAAAATTTTTTCTGAGTGAGACCCGAACCCGTGAAGTGTTGAACTGTAGCTTGAAGATTAGAACCACTTCGCTACGATGACATAATCTATTTTTGCAAATTGAAGGATAAGTTCTGCTACTTTAAATGCGTACATGAGCTTGCTTTGGGGGTTTTGTGCTTCTTTTATTTTCTGTGCTATAGTAGAGATATTTTGAATTAATTTAAAGGTATTAGGATCTTTAAAAACAGAAAAAAAACCTACAAGGTCTTCTTTAGGAGTTGACTTGGATTTAATTTTCTCACTGTACAGGGGTCTAGATGCTGATGCGTTTTCAGAATTTTGCTGTTCAGTAATAATAGGGAATTCGTATATTGTAGGTGCAGTATGCTTGATTAGAGGTTTTCCTGACTTGTTTTCGAGTTTGCTGAATCTGCGCTGATATATTACACAACCTCTGTACAAACTGACATGAGATTGGGAATAAAAAATGCATTTAGGTTTCTGTTCAGGTTTAAGTTGACATGTATTCGATCGGTGATTTTCGCTGCATTTCACGCATCTTAATTTGTTAAAGCAGCTGTTTTGAGAATGGCCAAACCCTTGGCAGTTGAAACATTGAATTGGTCTTTTTCGTGGGGGTGTATTTTTCGATTAAAGTACAAAGTCTGTAATCCGGACTCGTTGGGACTTCAGCGATTCCGGATTATAGATCATCAATTTAAATCTGGTAAGATAGCATACAGAAATTATACAATTAAAAATATGAAACTATAATTTATGAAATAAAGAGCAATTATGATCTAAAGAATATCAAAATTTACAAAAAAAAAAAAAAAAAAAAAAGCTTAATATTTTTTTTATTTACTTTATTAAACATTTCTTTCAATGTAAGTTGTTTAATTTGCTTTGTTTTTTGTGCTAATACATTCTCTTTAATTCTATAAACAGACATAATTTCTTGTTCAGTTACAAAGCTCCACTGTTCAAGTCCTGGAATTGCTGTGTCGAGAATACCTACAAACTTTTCAATAGAAATTTTTTCATTTTCAATAACCTCTCTGTCACTTTCTTCACTATCGGAAAGTATTTTCTGGATCTAGAACCATACTACAGATTTTACTGTCTGTTAATTGATTGATGATTGGGGCATTGTCGTCGCAATGAAAAACTTTTGTTATACCATCTTCATTTATTACTGCTTTTCCACATTTATTTACAAAATCCAATGACTGGAAAATTTCACCTTTGGTTTACGATGTCTGAAAACCTTAAAATTAGCGGCTATCATCTTCACCGTCCTCACCATGAAATATGGTAGCTGGCCATAAATTATGCCATGCATTTTTTAACGTATCTGGAGACACATTCTCCCATGATCTCGCGATGCTCCACACAGCAGAATTTATGCTAAAAAATTTCAAAAAGTCTTGCCATTGTTCAAGAAATTTAACATAGATTTTAAAATTGCTACTTTATATTTGCATTTCAGCATGTGCACTGTTCCCATATCTATATGCTGAATGATAGACATACAATTTGGAGGGAAGAATAATATGGATACATTATCTTTCACTAAAACTTTAAGTGAAGTATGCGCAGAACAGTTGTCAACAATCAAGACTATTTTTAAGTCATTAGGTAAACCAACCGAATTCACCGAGCCTCGGGTATAAAATGATTTTCAAACAAAACATTTATCAACGCTTGTGTCATCCATGCTCTTTTATTTGCACGATATATAATGGGAAAAATCGTTACTCCTTTAAATGCTCGAGTCGTGCATGTTTCGCGATTACAAAAAGTGTGCACTTGTGCATTCCTACAGCATTTGTGCACGCTAAAATTGTTAGTCTCGCTTTGGAATCTTTGACACCAGTTGGGGCCTTTTCTGTAGAGGTTGCCAAGATATTTTCACAGTACATATTGCCAGAAAAGACCAGTTTTATCAGCATAGTAAATTTGTTCTGGAGATAATTGTTCACTAGTAATGAGTTCAATGGATCCATCTGCAAGTTGTTCAGCAGCTTCAGTATCAGCTGAAGCTTTTTCACCTGAAATTTTTAATTGTCATGGCGATTTTTTAATTTGGTTAACCAATCTGTCGAATATGTGCACTCAGTGTTTAAGTTCATTTCTTCATGAAATATTTTGGCTTGAGCCATCAGCATTGGACTTGTCAATGGCACACCCTCGCTGCGACGCTGTCTGACCCATTCAATCATCACTTTGTCATGATCGTCACTCATCATAACGAACCCTTTTTCTGTTATTCTTTGCCTTATGTTTCAAATCGTATAGAAACTTCAAATTAATCTTACCACATTCAGCCATTTTTTACTGAGTAAACCACAAAATAAGCAATGTACTTCCTAAAGAACAATCCAATAAACACACAATCCCTTACAAATCTTTTACCATCAGTCAAATTCACAGCAATCACACAACCAATTACATCATAATAAGGATTCCATAACATTCAACTACTCAGGTTACCATAAATGAAACAACAACTTGGCGATAAATGAAACAACTTAGCGATAATCCAAGGGGCACCCTTAAATATACTCTAACCCTGATTTATATTTTAAAAAGCTCTCTCACAACATATACTCTCTCACTACTTGCAATAATTGTTAGGAAAATTTTCATTAGTACTACAGTCAAATACCAAAAATCCTCCGACCTGAAATTCACGTTGCCTCTCAGAATATAAACATTCAGTTTATAGGTTCCGGAAACCGCAACATTGAGTACAAAATATCAAAGAAAAAAATACTTACCGAATAATAATGAGTCAAAACAGAACTACCAAATTATTGATATAAAAAAGTTAAAGAAATTAAGATAAAATAAATAAGACAAGTTTTTTTCCCCTCTAATCTGCATCGAGGTAAAAAAGCAGATGATTCACTCAACTCTTTGTTCAAGTTCACGATTCACATTGTTGTATTTTCTGAACTTTGTTATTTCATTTCATGAGATTGTTTAGTGCTGCCTTTTTTTTATCCGGATATTTTGTGGATAAATTAAGAATATTTTTAATTTCAGCCCTTTTTAATACAATGACAGATAAGAAACGCACTCGTGATTTTACTGCTTGCAACGTTAAAAAACGTAAACGCGTTGCATTGACGGTAATGCAAAAAGTGCAAATTCTACAAAAGATGGTAGCAGGTGTACTTTCGATTTATAGCAGAATGGTATGGAATTGTGACACGATTGTGTATGATATACGGAAAAATAAAGAAAAGCTGTTGAAATTTTACAGCAACAGCGATTCTAACACAGGAAATCTTTGCATGAGGCGAAATCGGCAAACCTCGATGCTGTGTACATATAATACAATGAATAATATAATCAATTTATATATGTAATAATAATTTAATGCATATAATAAATTATTGCAAT